AAGATCTCATAGATATTCCACATATTGCTATGTGGTTTTTTAAAAAAAGATTTAAAGTTTTTTTTAAAAAAGTTTTAATATCCAAATAAAAATTATCTAATTAGTAGTATTGTTTTGAATAGCAGTATCACAGAAATATTTATATATACAGAATTGCTAAGTGAGAATTATATAGTGTTACAAAGCAGGTTGTAGCACAATGTAACATTAGTATAGTGCATAGTATAGATTATATTCTTTTATTGTATTATTATATTAGTTATATTTTATTATATAGTTATCATATTATTATTATATTATCTTTTATATTTTTAGTTATATAGATTTATTGGCTAGATAAATAAAATACAATAATATTATAGCTAGATACACAAGTACCTTTTAGTATCTGTATACAAGTACCTCTCAGTACCTATATACGAGTATCTCTCAGTACCTGCACATAAGTACCTCTCAATACCTGCACATAAGTACCTCTCAATATCTGCATATGGGTACCTCTTAGTACCTTTACACAAAGTACCTTTCACAAAGTATCTCTTAGTACCTTTATACAAAGTATTTTTCAGTACCTTTATGCAAAGTACCTCTTAGTACCTTCATACAAGTATCTCTCAGTACCTTTCACATGAGTATCTCTGTCTACTTTTACACAGTTTGGCAGTTATTCTGTTACACCTTCTATATATAAAAAAGTTATAAAAAGGAAGCTTTTGCCCCTTCTGCTCAAGTTAGAGTTCTCTACCCTCTCATAGAATCTAGCCTTATATTATCTTATCCTTTTTATACTTGTATAGTGTGATATTCCCTCTCTAGGGTAAATTCTACAGGCAAGTTTATCACTATAACATCTATATTTAAATAAAGTTATATAATATACTGTTACTATCCCGAACTATTTGCCTACTGCTGTAAAGTATAGTAAATACTTTACTTTACTTACTATATATTCATTCTTAATATAGGTTTTTCTACAATGAGTGACCTTATTTTGATATTGTTAACCAAAGGCTATAGCATTGTAACAATAGATTTATTAGTTATAATAATCAACCCTAACCTTTACCAATCTACTATTCATACCAAAAATAGTTAGAGGAGCTTAATAACAATTTATATAATTATGTTGAGCTAATAAATAAATTGCAACAATATATACAATGTAGTACTTCTTATTATTTGTAGATTAATAAACAAACTGGAGAGCATGCTTGCAGATTTGGTTTTTTAAAAAAATTAAAAAATCAGACAGTTATTTGTAATAAAAATAAATATATAGAATTAATTACAGCAAGAAATGATTTTTTAATTAATTTATATAATTATCTTTAGCTTTAGGGATAGTATACAAATGTTAATTTGAAGTCTATTTTGACAATTCATGCTGCTTTACAGTATGTTTCAAAGTATATTAGTAAGGCTAAAACACAATCTTTGGCTTTCTCAAAGATATTAAATAAAGCTTTTTATAATTGCAGATCTAATGATTTTACAATAAAGGCATTTCAGAAATTGCTACAGTCCTCTTTCTTATTTGAACAGCCTGTTTTTGGGTTTTTAGTTCAGTTCTTAAAGAGGTATTATAAGCTTATTTGAACTTTATAATAAAATTTATAAATGTTTTTGAGTTTTAGTTTGGATAAGAGAGAGGTTGGTTTAAAGAGATTCAGTTAAGAGAGAGTTGACTATACTTCATATAGTAGCAAAACAAGATATTTTAGCCCAAAAAACTGGACATCTTTTTCTTCAAATATTATTTTATCATTGTAGCCAAAATTTTGTCTATTTAAATCTAAATAAAGAAACAAATTATTGGCTGCATAATAGAATTAAAATTAGTATAAATGAAAATAATACAAATGAAGATAATAGCTCTTATAAAACAAGTTTGTCTTTTTATAAAAATATTGGAATAGACTTGCTAAACTTCAAAATATTTTACTATTTGAATTATATCTATATTATAAATTTGCAAAAAGTAGATGGATACAATATGAAAAAAAACATTGTACACATATAGCCTTATCTATTACACTTCCAAATGGATCTCATTAGAAAGATTTCTGCAGAATTAAAGTTCTTCTTCATGTTTGTTATAAAGATCTTGCTCAACTTACTGAAAATAGAACACTTTTATAAAAAGATTTGTATAATTGGTACTATTTAGAAATAGAGGCTAACTCTGTCAATTTAATTAGATCAGAGGTAGTAATTTGATGATGAGAGTGATTCTGATAATCACAACCAAGATGATATACAGAGAGTATATATATATTAATCTGACTAGATATTATTGTTGAATATAATATCAAGTATACAAATACATCATTCTGATCTTGATAATTATAATATTGACAGAAATCATAATTGGGTTGGTAAAAGTTGATTACAATACCAAAAACATATTGATTTCAAAAGCTTTATTTAACAAGCCACCCAAAACAATACTATAGTCAAAGATAATTTACCAGAAATCAATAAAAGAACCCTAAATAACAAGCAAAGAATAATATATAAACAAATTGAGTTTCATTATGCTGAAACTATTTTAAATTAGAGAATTGATATTTCTACACCCTTTTTTGATAATGCCACACCCCTGTAGATTATAATTTTTTATACAATTGATATCTTGGCACCCATTCAATCAACTTTTTTTTATTTTAATTGTAGAAAGCCGTAGAATTTAAATAAAAAAAAGTTAATTAAATTTGGTCAGATAGGTGCCGAGATATCTTTGATCAAAAAGTTTGTAAAATTCAAAACATCTATCAAATATAAGCTGCAGCAACATTGTTTACAAACTTTAATCGAATATATCTCGGCACTCATCTGACTGAAATTTGATCAACTTTTTTTTATTTTAATTGTAGAAAGCCTTAGAATTCAAAGAAAAAAAAGTTTATCGAATTTGGTCAGGTTGGTGCTGAGATATCTTCGATCAAAGATTTTGTAAAATTCAAAACGTCTATCAAATATAAGCTGCGGGAAAATTGTTTACAAACTTTGATTGAAGATATCTCGGCACCCACCTGACTAAATTCAAGCAACTTTTTTTTATTTTAATTGTAGAAAGCCGTAGAATTTAAAGAAAAAAATTTGATCAAATTTGGTTAGATGGGTGCCGAGATATCTTCGATCAAAGATTTTGTAAAAATTAAAACGTCTATTAAATATAAGCTGCGGCAAAATTGTTTACAAACTTTGATTAAAGATATCTCGACACCCATTTGACCAAATTCGACCAATTTTTTTTATTTTACTTGTAGAAAGCCGTATAATTTAAAGAAAAAAAAGTTGATCGAATTTGTTTAGATGGGTGCCGAGATATCTTTAATCAAAGATTTTATAAAATTTAAAACTTCTATCAAATATAAGCTGTGGCAACATTGTTTACAAACTTTAATCGAAGATATTTCAGCATCCACCTAACTAAATTCAATCAACTTTTTTTTTATTTTAATTGTAGAATGCCGTAGTATTTAAAGAAAAAAAGTTGATCAAATTTGGACAAGTAAGTGCTGAAATATCTTCGATCAAAGTTTAAAAAAAATTTAAAAAAATTAAAATGATCTACAGGAGTGTAGCATTATCAAAAAAGGGTGTGGAAATATTAATTCCCTTAAATTAATACATAATGCCACTACATATTATTGTTATAAGCATTGCAAGAACCAGAAAGTTTTATTTTATTAAAGCAATTCAAAGAATACTTCATAGAATAGCAAGAGATAATGGTATAAATAAAGAAATTCCACTTCTGCTTGCTCCAACAGGTGTCACTGTCTTTAATATTCAAGATAGTATTATTCATTTAGTGCTCTTTATTCTAATAACAAGCATAAAGTATGTTCTTGAAAACAATTATCTTAAAATGTTACAAAATAAACTGCAGAATATTAGATATGTTATTGTTAATAATGAAATAAGCATAGTGGGATATCATAATCTTGCTATAATCGATTTACAATTATAGCAAACATTTTCTAACAATAACAATATGCTATTTGGAGGTTTATCTGTTATTTTTGTTAGAGATTTTGAGCAACTCTCTCTAGTCTGTAATCTCTCTATATATTCAAAAGATTTTTGTCAATTGGATTCTTTATCTGAAAATGGGCGTAAATATTTTAATCAATTTCAAAAAATATACAAGCTTGAAGTTGTAAAACAACAAGCAAGTGATTTAGAAATCTTTTATTATGTTTATGTAATGGCAAGTCTATTCAATTGGGTTAGGAGCTATTGATTATACAGATTTCAAAAAATCTATATAAATTAGAATAAAATGAGTTTTTAGGTGCTACTAATATTTTTATATAGTAAAATAAAGTCAATAAAGTTAATTTCACTAAGTTTTATTTATTAAATCAACTGGTGATCAAAATATAAGCTGTTTATACTGGTGACTTTGAGGCTATAAATGCTGATTCAGAAACTGCCAAAGGTCTTGAGTCAAAAATATTATTAGCAAGAAAAGCATATATAATACTTATTACCAATATTTGTATCTCTTCAGACCTTATAAATAGTGCAATGTAGACAATAGAAATATTTTGTTTGAGAGATCCAATTAATTTCCTATAGCTGTCTTAGAGATATGCTATTTATTATATGATTTTTACTATAAATACATAATCAGAGATAGTAATTATGTCTATATATAATATTGACTAATAAAAATATAGAAATACTAATAACAAAACAAATAAAAAATTTACAAAAATCACAACAGTTTTTATATCACAACCAAATACCTATTTATATATAAAAGAGGTGATTAATGTAGATATAGATAGTAATTGTAAATATAGAGCACTAGCATTGAGTTTAGAAAGAAATAAAAATAAATGGTCTGAGATTAAAAAAGAGTGAAAAAAAAATTAAATAAAAGAGAGCAATTTTACCAAGCATTGTTCTTAGCTAATAATGACTATAAGACAGTTAAACCAGAAATTTCTTGGAAAAATAGTACTTGTACTTTTAAATACTAGATAAAAATGCCACAAATAGAAAACATCATAGTAAATACTTACCAAAGGGCATTATATTTTTCACTACAAGTAAACTTTACCTTCCTTTTACATCATCAACTATTAAATCAAAATAAAGCTCTTGCAATTGCATTTGTTAATAACAATTATTATGTGGCTATAACTTTAAAGCCTGGTGCTCCTGTATCCCAATTATTAATCAATAGTCACAATTTGCAACTTCAGAATCATTATGATAGAAGCTGTTGATTCAATATTATATTAATAAGTTTTTTTTATTAAGTAATTAAGCTGATAAAAAAATTTAAAAAACAAAAAATAAGAATAATGATATACTAGTAACTACTTAATAATTAAGAAAATTTAAAAATACTTCTATATGTTTTATAAACCTATTATGTTTAAAAAACAAAGTTCTTATAATTCATAATTATATAATTTTATATCATGATTGCATTATAATGCAATAAATTTGATTCGTTTAGTCACTAAATATTATCTTCTTAAAATTGATTAAATATTATCTTTTTAAAATTCATTTAATTAGCTGAATATTATCTTTCAAAAAGCGTGTATAGTATTTTATGTAGATCTAAAATTATCGCATATCAGATGATGATATGATGATATGATCATGTGACTGCACTGTCCGTAAATTTCGCGTAAAGCTATTTTACTATATTAAATTTTTATAGCACGTGGGTACTGGAAGGTAACCCATTGGCTAGTTTATATATTAATTTTTGCAAACCTGAATTTTATTTTATTTTATTTTATTTTCAGAAAATTCAAATAAAATTTTATAATGATAAGAAATACAGTACAAATAAGATAAGAGTTTGAGCAATGTCAATTTTATATGTCGACGCAAAACATTGATTTGTCATTTTGTTAATTTCTACCAACAAACTCAAATCCAGCCAGGTTGTTTAAATTTCTTTCAAAAAAATCAAAAGCTACAAGATCGTGAAAGTTATCCAAGTTGTTAAATATTCCATTTCTTTCAATAGTGTAATTTCATCATTTTTTAAAGGATCATCAATCGCCGATGATGTAAATTATCTAATATAATATTGTCTTTTTGTAGGCCAGTATTTTTTTGTGAATTGAGCGAGTCAGTATGGTCAAAATGTGATAATTTGGTGTCAAGTATATTATCGTTATTATTGGAATCCGATACAGTATGATAATTGTTTTTCAACTGTCATCAAGATATAATAAATACATTAATAGCAAAGGCGATGTTACAGGTTGTTCATCTACATTATCTTGTTTTTGATTTGTCACTGTAACAACATTCACATTCGAGAATAGAATGATGAGAGTTTGGATTGTATGAAGGCGATGACAGATGTAAAGAAATAATTTGGCGAGGGCGATTGCAAATTAATAATTCACCATCGCTTTTTATGCAAAGACCACAATTTATTTGTTTACTAAACGGATCAAAGTTAAATGATGGGAGCATCAAATTGCAATTGTTATTTTTAAATTTCTCTTTTTGATTCAGGTGATGCAGATACTGAGATGAAGTGGGTAAAAAAGATACCACATGAATCCCAATGCCCGTATGAATCCCAATTGCCGTATGAATCACAAGTGCTGTATGAATTCAAAATATCGTATCGATAAATTAAAATTTTTGATATCAATCGTATTTGTATTTAATTAATCAATACCACAATCAATATATATAGATACGTATAGAATATGTAATATATCAATTAATGACGTAATAAAAATAGTTTATATATTTCTTGAAATTATTGTCTATTAACGAAAGTTTTTCTACAATGAATACGAACAAAGACAATTCGATTCTAAATAATGATTGTTTCCCATTATCTGAATTAAATTACATACGGTATTAAGCCGTAATACTCGACAAGTAGGTTCAGCAAATTTAATAGCTCGAATTTTCAACGAAGAAAGTAATGAACAATAATAAATTAGCAATCGAATAACAAATCTATATAGATAATATATAATATATATATTGATATGTACTGTGCTATTTTATTTTCTTGATAAATAAAAATTTGCTGTTGTAAAGTTACGTATAAAAATAATTATTTGCAATATAACAAGTTACGACAATTTACAGCAAGTTTCGACATAAAAAATTGAGTTACGACATATAATATTTAGTTACGGTAAGTTTCGACATATAAAATTAAGTTATGGCAAATACGCACGTTACGGCACGCCGTAACTTAAGGCAAAAAGTTATAACTAGTTAGAACTTAGTTACGTTACGGCAAATCCAAGTTCCGCTGTACGTCTTTTTTAATTTTTCTAACCAATTAATTGTTGTAAAACTATGCGGCAAAAAAACGTGATTTTGCGATACATGGCACGTGGTACTTTATTTTCATAAAAAAGTGAGTTCTAATCAAACAACAAAAAAATCATAATTCATAATTTTTTTTTCTTTGCATTATCTGAATTAAATTGAAATTGCCGAATAAAGAGGAAAAAACCCCGCGAGTTAAAAAAAAAAAAAAAAGAAAGGGTCGAACGAATTGCTAAACAATTTTGAATAGAGAGACCGTTGTCTTCGTCATCGAACAGAGAAATTTTGCCTTTGAATGGGTTGGGCGAATTAGCGCCATCCCGCCGTTTCTTCGTAGTGCCAAAAACGAAAATTTAAATTTCCTCAAACTTAATCACGTGAGAAACAATTAATAATATCCGACTAGCAGTATATTATCTCAATTGTTGTGTGTGTATGCATTTCGGTATCAAGCAGAATTATCGATACAATATTTCATAATTTATTCCAACAATCCTTTTTATACTAAATATCAAATAAATTAAAAGTTATATAACAAAAAAACATCAAAGAAACAAAAGCAAATTAAAATGCTCACAGAGATAAAATAAATCATATGGTATTTTGATCATTGACCTCCATATTCCCAAAATTAATATGGATAATACGAAAAAAGGAGGAATAACGATAAATCGAGTTGTTTAAATAATGGAAAACCGTCGTTAGAAAATTCCTTTGCGAGGAATTTTAAGTAAAATTGCATTTATATATACTAGAATTCTGTTTTATCTTTTGATCTTGACGCCATTTGTGCACCGTCATCAGTACAAACATTTATATAAATATATCATATAATGCTGTAATGTAGGTACGTATAGCGCTCTATACAGTACCCGGTGTGACACGATTTTTTACTTAGTGAAAAATAACAATCACGTGTATTACACAATTGTTTATATCACATGTCATATATAAATAATATTTTACTAAATTGTTCTACATTATTTGTCACACAGGGTATTGTATAGAGCGCTATACGGTAATTATTGACGCGTCTCTTTTTAATTAGTGGATTTTACCATAAGAAGGTATAAACAAATCTTGTATCGAGAGACCTTGTGTACGTGACACAAAAGACTATGAACTTTTCTTAGGACAGGTATTTAATATACTTCTTCCAAATAGCATTCTTTACGCCATTGTTAAAACTTCGGGTTTCGGAAAAATATTATTAATTAAAAGGTATCGAATTATGGCGTTTAATCAGGAGATAAGGGACGTGTCAGATATTAGCTGAGATCAGTTTACTATAGAGCTTATCCCCCTCCCTCCCTCCTGAGAAATTTAGTCATTCTGATTGGTTATATGTATATATTTAGACCTGAGATTTTGTCTACTTTTATTTCACCAAAATCAACCTGTCGATAATCGCTTAACCGATATCCAATTAGAAGTTATTAGAAGTTCCAAGAATTAATGTTAAAATGAATGCTAGTATTGAGTATGGATTATTTTTCAATTTTTTTTTTTTTAACAAAATAGAGTCGATACAGCCAGCCTCTTTTATTAACGTGATAAGGAAATTACTACAAGAAATTAGTATAGCTGATAGGAAAACAATTAAAAAGTAGTCTGATACGTCGGCAAAAATTATTCTTCGTTTTTTTTTCGAAGCGTAATTTGATAAAAGATTAAGGGCAATGTGTACCAATTAGAATATTTGTTATTAAAGTGTAACAGTTAATCAGCCAACAGATAGAATAGTTTCAGGCACTAGAAATGGCGAAAAAAAAAATATGTACTAAAAAAAAAATTTTTTTCAAAAATGACATAAGGCTACTCTGTACCCAAATATTTGTTCTACGTATCCACGTTAGATAATATTTATATGCGCGATCTTTTTTCTTGCATCACCGAAAAAAAAATGTTTGTAATAGGTGTACAAGTTGTGTGAAGTAATTGTGAAACACGTGCAAAGGTATTGTAGTTAAGGCTTTAATATATCGCAGAAGCTCAACGTATGGTGAATGATTATTTCATACTCCTGAATCCTAATATGGTACAAAAAAGCAAGTCACACAAAATTGTGACTTTGTTTTCTGTTTACACAATTAACGCCTTCCTTCGAATGATAATTCATAAAACTTAATTGTACACATGTGCGAGTTTATTACAATGGAATTTTAAACACCCATAGTGAAAAAAAAATTTTTTTAAATGTTTACTTAACGTGGAAAATAAATAAGTGTTATATTCCTGTTTCATTGTATATGGTTCGATTTAGTAGTCGTGACATGATTGGTTACGAGCTGTTTGGCAAAAAAATTAAAGTTTTGGTTTAAATGCTATGCTGATCAATTCTGTCAATGCGTTGTTTCACAGTTTCGACACTGTGAATTAAGTTTGTACCATACGCCATTTTTTTATTGATAAAACTCTGGATCTCATATCATTAAGTTCCCTGCATTAACCAATAAATAAATACATAATAATACGCATTTATTAATGTACTAACTTTGCAATCTTTATACGATTGGCGTTTTTCTGTGAAAATGAAGATTATTAAGTTTGCATCACATGGTATCAGCTTCATTATCCCTGAATATTTCGTAAGCAAAACGAAAACGCGCTTGCAATTTTTTAAAAAAAATTTTAGTCACACATTTAAAGTTATTCGTTATATTTACTTTCTTATAAATATTATATTATAAATATATTACCAGTTAAAGGATTGTTTTTTGCGATTAAATTTACAAATAAAATCTTAATCCTCAATTATCTAGCAAATTAAATTTCTGTTGAATTACATTACACATCCTTTAGCCATATTCAACTTTTTTCTTTTCTTTCAAACTTATTAAAATTTATAGATAAAGTTTATCAAAACCTTCTTTTAAAAGATTCTCTTTTTTATTGTTATTCACCAGTTCATCATACTTTATATACTCTTTTATATTTAACTATTGCTAAACAATACATATACATGTATATATTTATGGTTTAGATATATTATTTGGAGCATATTCTACTTTGACTTGTTTTGAATTTTAGTATTTAATAATAGTATTTCTATTAATAACATATTGAGAATTGATTTGTTTTTGAAATATAAAAATAATATATTGTTTTGATTAATAAATTTCAAAAAGCATCATTATCTATTTACTTTTTAAAGTATTAGTTAAAGTTATAGTTGCAAAAGATAGTAAATTTTGTTTAAACCAAAATTTTACAAAAGTGGTAATATTTTTAATAATATTAACTATTTATACAATGCCAAGTATTCTTTTTTAATTATTTTGTTTGTAAGGGCAGTGTCATTTATTACCTGATTTTTTTTTATTAGAGGCTTATTCTCTCTAGTTTTTAATATATAAATTATCAGGTCTTATATATAAAATTTCAATTTTTTTGACATCTCTTCTAGAAAATCGCCTGATAATTGTCAGCTTCCTAACATATAATACTTTAGTTTAGAATTAATAAAAATCATAAAAAGTTAGTTTGATGCTTATACTATAATAATATATTATTTTTTTTTTAGTATTAAAATAATCTTTTGTCAATAGTGATAAAATATTATTTTAATTATAATGAGAGTATATTAAGCCACATATGCACTTTTGATACCTAATTTAAGTAGTCTGCTCGAAGTGATAGTGCTATGCTAGAAGTTCTATACTATTTGCTATACCTGTATCTCACTATGTAAAGTATCTATTTAAATCTTTTGATTATACTTTAATTCCACAATATAAGATTCCAAACCCAAATGTAATCTCATTATGCATATACTATGGATTTATACAACACTACTAGATTAACAACTAGATTTAGAACTACTTTATCCTTGAGATAAACCTGCAGAGTAGTCCTGGTATACATTTAGACTTCAGTAATTTACACTATAGCTTAATCTATACACTTGGGTTAGAGCTAACTATTGAATCTCTACTATTATCTACTCTTACTCTTTTGAGATTCACAGATCTCTGTACCATATTTTATTACTTTTTACATCTTATTCTTTTTGGTATTGTCAGTCTTCCAAATTTAAATGGCCCAAAAAGATTGGTTTACTCAGACTTAAGTTTTTTAGGCTCATATCTGAAGGTCTTTCAATCCTTGGTCTACAATTTTATAATACATAATCTTTTCTTCTAAAGACTTATTCTAGGATCTTCTACTAATCACTTTTAAAGAAAGTACAACTAGAGTGGCTCTAATGATCTTAGTGGCCTGATTAGTAAATTCTTTTTGTCTGAATAATTTTTGTTATACAACTTTTTTAATTTTTGGAGTCCAGTCAAATCTGTTCTATAGTACTAAATAGTATTTTATTAGATCTGCTACTTCTTTAATTGAGATTTGCCAAGCCAGTTTTGTTCTCTTAAATTACTGTAAATAGATCTTTAACTCATCACAATCTAGAATGTCTTATCATAGACTTGTACTACCTATACTAGTTTGTATTCCTTTATACAATAACACAAATGCATTCACATCTTCCAGTATTCAAAGGCATTGGTATATCCTAGTTTACAAAGTACTGTAATATGAGTTATGATATAACAAAGCCCCAGCCCAATTTAGAATAAGCCATTACTATAGTACAAGTAAATTGTCTAAATTGTTATTAGTGAGTTTTAAACTCAGTACTATAGCCAAACAAACTTAGGGATGTAACAACTTTATCACTTCGCTATGTCACCACACTCTCAATAATATATTACTATAGTATTTATTTAATTATTAATATATATTTTAAATATAAAAAAGAAAGTTACCATTTCTACTATAGTAAATTGCTATTTTCACTATAGTAAATTATATAATTGGTTAAAATTTTAAATATTTCTATTATTTGTTTTTATTTTTATTTTTTTTTTGGTATTAAGGTGACCTCTTTGGTCTGGGAAACTTTTTATTAGAGTATAGATGAAGTTTTATATGTAATTACAACGATGGTATATCAAGCCACACGTGCACCTTTTG